TGAAGGGGATTACTCAGAAACTGAGCACAAAGCCAGGTGCTGGAGATGAGGTGGGGGTTCTGAGTGGGCCCTGAAGGCATCACACCTCCTTCCCCAACCTGTCCTCACCCGACTTGTGGGCCCTGCCTTCTCCCTACTCCAGCTGTTGATGTGAATGGCCATAGGCAGGATCAGGCTCTCACTTACCTTGATGGCCCAGAGGCTGGGGGTCATCTGACGAATCACACGGGGGACCAGGGGTGAAGTTCCAAGCCTGAGTTAGCCTCTTCCCAGCCTCCCTGTTCCCATTAATACAAGGAGGGCTGACCCCATGGACAATGAAGAAGGCAGATCAATCAGGGAGCAGAGGTCAGTCACAAACTGGAAGACACAGCTCTTCCCTTAGGAGCTGGGAAGTGGGGGGCAGCAGGGAGGGCAGGCAGAGGGAGTCTGGGACTTGGGGTGTCTCTTGCTTGAGGATGAGGAATTGGGAGGTGGTTCTGCTGGGGAAGATGTATGAGGGTGGGTACAGTTAAGAATGGAGGAGAGGGGTGGCTTTTGTCAAAAGCAAAACCCATTAAGGCTTGGGTGGGGTCACTGCTGGGGAAGCCTCATCACCACGCGTGGAAGGAGTCCTGGCAGCTTATTGGTCAAAGCCCATCAATTAGAACCAACCAGCTGAGCTCAGGTGTGCCAGCTGACTTCCCTAAAAAGACTGGTGTTGGAGGCCCCACAAGACTGCTGTGAACCGAGACTGGACAGCAGTGGGCTTGGTGGCCAGGCACCAGCTAAGGAAAAATAAACTTTGGCAAACAAGTGGCTAAAGGTGGCAGCTTGTCCAAGGACAGAGCTCACAGGTAGTGTGTTTACCTGGGGCTGAGGTGCCACCATTCTCTGAACCACAGGGCAGTTTCTCAGTGAAGCCTGTGTCAGACTGAGAAGGAAGGCTTGCCCAGGCCCCTGGCCTGCTCCTGGGGGCTCTAAGCTCCAAACCCCGCCAAGGCCACCTTCTCACCTGGGCCAGGTAAGGCTTGATGCTGTGCAGAGATTACACTGTCATGACTGGAAGAAACGAGACACACACAAGCCCCTATCCCAGGGGCTGGGCCTTCGCTTCGGAATGTGACAATTTATTTGGGGAGACAAAGAGGCTCTTTGGTCCCCACTTCCTGGCATTGATACAATATTGAAGAGCAGCAGAAGAAAACGTACGAGACGAGTCATGGGCACCAACCTGCCCTCCCCTGGCCCGTAGCAGAACCACCAAGCCATCCGGGATTCTGTACCTCAAATCTCCGCCGGGAGGGGGACCCAGACCACAGTCCCCGACCCACCCCCCCAGCCACTTTCCTATCTTGAATCGCTGGAGGCAAAGTTTAGCCAGCTGGGAGCTGGATGGTTGAACCAGACAAAGGCAACAACACTTCATTTTAAAAATGAGAGCGAGAAAAGAGACAGCACCCCTCCCCAAATATAGAGCTATATATGTCTATTATATAGAGTTCATCCGTGCACGAGTCATTAAATGAGCTTTTCAAAAATTAAAAAAAAAAATTATAAGATACATATTTCTTTAGGCCTTTGTGTTTTTTAAATTAAAACTGTCAGGAAGCAGACCCATCTCTGTTCTAACAGCACAGGGTAGCCGGGAGCACGGCACCTTCGGCCTGGCCTCTTGCCAGCAGCTTCCCTGTTAGGCCACCCCCTTGCTGCCTGCCTGACTCTTTCAAGGTGGGGCCTTGTCTCCACTTGTTCCCGCTTCCACATCTTGGTGGTTGCTGGGGAGCCTTGTGCTGAGATCTTAGGCCATCTACCGGGCTTTCTGAATTTGAGATGCGAGTAGGAAAAAACCAAACAACCCAATCCAAAAAACCTCAACCCAAATCTAAAAACCTTCCTTTCTTCTACAAAAGTGATTCCTCAAATTGAATCCCGGGTTAGGGCAGGGGGCCAGAGGGGGAACCTGCCGAGGCAGGAGAAGTGCAAAAAAAAAAAAAAAAAAAAAAAAGAAACAAACAAAAAACAACGAACTGAATCTGTCCAAATAGGACACTGGCGGTCAGACAAGTGGAGGCAGCCGCACCTTCTCCAGGGCCTTTTCCTAAATGGCCTACCTCTCACCCGCTTCATCTCTGATCTGAGGCTGGACACAATAGCAGCCTCTTCCCATAGCAGAGAGGAGGCCAACTCTGAGATGGAACCCTTTGCAGAGGGGAGCAGCGGGGGACTATGGGAGGCCGGGGGCCTCAGCACCAGCAACTCCTTATGACAAGTTGTTGCTGCTCAATACATCCATTTCACAGAAAGGCAAACGGAGGATAAGACAAACAGAACTGGTGCGAGTCACCTTCCAGTCTCAAGCTGGGCCAGCCACTTCATCTGCTTCCTATGACACATAGGGAGGGGATGGTATCAAAGGGCAGATGCCAGGAGGAAGCCCCAACCCACAGGGGTGCTTGGGTTCTGGGGGCAGGCGTTTAGATACAAAAATAAAGCAAACCGGTCTGCAACTCGGACTTGGTAACCAGACAAACGGAAAAGCAGCATGGGGCTGGAGAAGGGGCCAAGGAGGCTGGTCCGTGCAAGGAGGGGGAGGCAGGAACTTGGGGGAACCTGCTCTGAGTTACTCCAGGAGAGAGGTAAGGGGGCCTCTGCTTGCTCTTGGCCTCCCACCTCTGACAGTGTGCATGTGTGCCTCTGCACACTGAGGTGGGGTGGCCAGAACTGGGGGTCTGGGCAGCAGCACACCCTTCTCCCCATCGTGACCTGTAAGACTTAGAGCCACACCTCAATCTCCCGGCTTTCCCCCTCAAAGCCAGCAACCTCTTCCAGGCCAAGGAAACTCAGGGCGATGCCTCACACGGGTGGGGGTTGCGGGACCAGACCACCTGCAAACAGGGTGAACCTACTCCCCAGCCTTCCTGGCCAGAGGGGTGGCCCGCTGGACCCCTACCTGACCCTGGCCCAGAGCCTCCAGCTGTCTTGCAGCCACTGGCTGGTTCCCTTTGAGTAGAAGGACTGTGGGGGAGGAAGTCAGGGCCTACAAAGAGGTGGGGGCGGCCACAGCTGTCCCCCTGCCCTCTGGAGGGGCGCCTGCCCACGAGGTCTCAGCGCCCACCTCCCCACGCCTCTCCCATTGCCACCTCACCTGTGCAATCACTGCGTTACTATTTTTTTCTTTAAATATCTTTCTCCCCCCTCCCCACAGGAATCCCACAGTATTTTTTCTAACTTTTTTCTTTTTTTTTTTGCAAAACTAATTCTCTCACTTTCCTGTCATAAAATCACCTCTGAAAACACAACTTCTTTACAAAAAAAGTCACGAATGACACGGACCCTCAAGAAAACACATTTCTATGGTCTCTGGGAACACCTGTAACTGGGACCCAGGTGGCTGATCACCTGGGGGGCTGCCAAGGGGACATCACCTCCAAGGACAGAGGAGAAATACCAGCCCTTATTTGGGGGAAAAGCCAATTGGCACTTGGGGGGGGCACAGAACCAACACAAGGGATGGGGGTACAGGCTGCCCTCTTGGGAGGGCCCTGCTCAAGATGTAGGGGCCGGGTAGGGCAAGCTGTGCCACACGCAGTCCCCAGCAGGGACATTCAGGAGTGGACTCAGGGTCAAAGGGTACTCCTCAGTCAGCTGGATCCCCTTCCCACCCCTTCCCTGTCTTCAGGACCAATTTTATAGCCACCAGACTAGGTAAGCCACACCACCTGGGTCTGTGGACACCCTGATAGTGGGGAGGTGTGACCGCCAGGCCCTGGCCTCGTCCTGAGACCAGACACCCTTGCTGGGCCCTTGCCCTCCTGGTCTCCCGCTGGGGCTGTGGTCTCTGCCGCTGGCATGGATACCTCTATGCACTGGCAGCACATGGGGAACACAAGCTGCCCAGGGTCACAGAAGCCTCTGGTTGCTTTGAGCAGGTGGGTTATAATAAAGACACAGCATCAGAAGTAGAACAGAGAGGGTGAGAGGAGGCGAGGAGACCCCCAGGGAAGGTTGCCAAGTCTCGCCTTCCTTCTTAAAGCCCCAAGAGGAAGACAGAGCCTGGAAAGGAGGTCTCCCTGTCCACCTCAGTCCCCACCATGCCATGTCTGCAGTGAAGGCCTGAGCACTCACGCTGACCACCCCACGAAGGCAGAGGTCTGGACCGTTTGCAGGCTGTGCCGGGAGGGCTGGCCTGGGACGCCTGTGGAGCCCACGGTGAGGAAAGGTCCAGGCCTTCAGTGACCCTGTTCATTGTGAGGAACCGTTAAGGGTGCCGCCTGGTACCCAGTGCACACACGGACACACGCACAGACATGCCAAGGGGTGGCAGACGCACACGCACAACCACAGCCTCCACAGCAGGCTCCTGTAGCACCTTTGGTCAAGAACTGAGGGGGGCTTCAGCCGCAGGGACCTGTGGCAGGTGGGCTCCCACCAGATGCACCCTCCATCAAGACATGGTAAGGGTGGGGAGCAGGGCCCAGCTTGGGACTGCAGTGGGCAGGAAGACAGGTGCCCCTAAACCAGCTTTTGTCGGGAAGGCAGTCTGGGTACAGCCCTGAACACAGGCACAAGCAGGAACCCATCCGTGCCCCTCTGCCCAGGTATCTATACGGAGCAAGGAAAGCGGCATACCCACCCTGGTGGGGGTCTCCAAAGACACCCACAGCTGCCAGGCAGCACCAAGGACGCGGACGCTGTACACAAGAGCAGGAAGCAAGCTGGGGGAGGGGATGGGAGGGGGCAGATGAACCCCGAAACCACTCAGTGGGATGCACTGTGTGCAAGGCAGGGAGGGTGCCAGGAGGGGGCACTTTCCAGTGTCTCAGCCCTACCTGGCCCTAAGCTCTCCCAAGACCGCCCCACCCACTGGGCTTGCAGGCTGGCACTGCCCAGTCCCATCCCAGGGTCAACACTGAGCCTTCTGAACAAGCAAAGCAAAGGCAGGCGAGGGTGAGGGCAGGGTACAACAGAGGGCTGCTTTGGGCAGGAGGTCCCCAAAGCCTGCTCCTTGATGGGGCCCCTCACTTGCTGGCTACACTACCACCACCTCCCCCGGTGGCGCCCACCACCCCAGCGGCCACCTTCTCAAAATCCTCAGGGTTGCAGAATTCCTTGATGGTGACCGTCAGGAGGTTGCTGGTGACATCAGTGACGACCACGTTGGAACAGGGGGACATCTCGGGACGCCAGTCCCCGGCCTCAGGCTCAGAGGGGCCACCCGTGGGCTCGGTGGCTGCCGGGAGTGCCTGGCTGGGGGCAGGAGTGATGTCAGGGGGCGCCCGCTTGCTGGTGACTGCCTGCTCGGCTGCAAGGGACAGGTCAAGCACCTCAGGCTCATGCCAGTCGGGGGCCGATGGGCTTAGGGTCTCAGGGAGCAGCTTGGGGGGCACGTCATCAGGGTCAGAGGAGGACTGCGGTGCTGGTGAGGGGCAGCCGGAGGAGCTGGAGCTGCGGGCATCGTACGGTGCTGCAGGGGCGGCCAGGTGCAGCCCAGGCGCCTGCGGGGTGGCAGTGTCGGCTTTGCCGGCGGGTGGGGTGGACAAGGGGGTTGGTGGGGGCTTGTTGTACAACGCGAAGGCCCCGAACTTCATGTGGCGGATCTGGGTGCGCAGGATGCTGTCGCTGAACTTCTTGCTCTTGCCGATGACGCGGTTTCTCGAGGGGACTTTGGGGCGGGCGAGGGTCCCGGTCCCCTGGCCCGCAGCTCCTCCACTGGGAGCCTTGTCGATCACCTTCAGGTTCAGGATGATGCGGTTCCGCTTGGGCTCCCGGGGCTTCACCTTACGATTGATGATGCGCACCGTCTCGGAGAAGGGCGAGATGGGGGGGCGCAGGCCGGGGCTGCCCCCCTGGGGGTCTGGGCGGGGGAGGGGGCGGCGGGACATGCGGTGGCAGCGGCGGATGTCCTTCTTGAGCCGGTGCACGGCGGCGCTGGAGTGCAGCTTGGGGGAAGTGGCGCTGGCGCTCGGCTTGACGGAGAAGTGCACATCGCTGATGCGGAGGGCCTCGGCCTGGGCCCGCGCCTGCAGGGAGAGCGAGGGGCTGGGCGGAGTCTGCGGGGAGGACAGAGAGGGCTGGGCGGGCCGGCTAGGGAGGAGTAACGGGG